GGAGAGAGGGGGCGGGGAGCTGTCGGTAGACCGATGCTAGACGGTATCGTGGTTCGTGGCGCTTGCTGCGCGAACTAGGCGCTAATCGTGAACTTAATCATTAATTGCACATGTGAACTCTTTCCTGTTGCAACAATGCTGAATGTGGGTGTGCTGAATTGCTGATAGTGAAGGATTGCGGTTGAGGCAAGGGTCTGAAGTGAAACCGCCGCACTCATCGATTTTGGGGCGCCTGGAAAATGAAGCTCAATTGCAACTGACGTAATTTTTCAGCCCGAACTCTCTCTTTTCAGACAAGAAGGTTTTTCTTTTGCAAGAAGGAATAGATTGCATCGACTATGACACCAGATTTTGAAATTTCGATTTTGACGAAAAACTTTCTTCCATGACCCAAAGGCTAGGTTCCGGGTGGGGGCAGTTCAATTCATCTTCCTAAATATTAAGGTCGTATAAAGTTAATTGTGCTGTGAACACGGGGAGCCTAGAATTTTAAATGACTTCTTCTCGAAGCTATGACTTTTGTACTGCAAACTGTCACCTGTCTAACTGTGGATTTACTTGACATTTTTAGTGCTTTCTTGTTTCAAAATTTCCTTAGAGTTCTCCCCTTTGTTCTGGCATCAATACCTCAATTTTGAGATTTCTTGGACTGAGGACCCTCTTCCCTTGGCCTTGGAGTGTCACATACAATCAGGGACGAAAACATTTCTTAGGAGCGATTCAAGTCATAATCAAAGCCATAAACTTTTTTCTCGCCGCAAAAAGGTCAAAAGAACACGTGGAGTCAAAAATATCAAAAATCAGCCCTTTTTTCATTATTTTACTCGTATTTGCTAAAAATAAGAAAAGACCCGAAGGGAAGGAAGAGAAGGGAAAAGAAAAAATGAAGAAAAAATAGAAAAAAAATCAGAGGAAAAAGAAAAGAAAAGAAGAAGAAGAAAGGAAAAAAAGAAGATGAAAAGGGAGGGGAAAAGGAAACAAGAATTAGAAAAAGAAAGCAAAATGATAAGAAGTAAGAAAGAAGAAGAAGAAGGAAAAAGAAGGAGAAGAAGAAGAAGAAGAAGGAAAAAGAAGGAGAAGAAGAAGAAGAAGAAGAAGAAGAAGAAGAAACAGAAAAAAATAATGGAAGAAGAAGGAAAAAAGGAAAGAAGAAGAAGAAAGGGAAGAAAAAAGAAGGAGAAGAGAGGAAAAGGAGAAGAAGAAGAAGAAGAGAGGAAAAGGAGTGGAAGAAGAAGAGGAAGAAGAAGGAGTAAGAAGAGAAGATGAAGATGAAGAGAATTCGAGAAGAAGAAGAGTAGAGGAAGAAAAAAAGGAGGAAAAAGAGAGAAAAAAGGAGAGGAAAAGAGGAAAGAGAAAGAAAGAAGAAGAAGAAACGAGGAGAAAAAGAAGAAACGAGGAGAAAAAGAAGAAACGAGGAAAAAAAGAAGAAACGAGGAGAAAAAGAAGGAACAGAAGAAAAAGAGGAAGAAAAGTTTTTAAGGAAAATCTACCTTACGTCACACACGAGCCAAAGCTCGCACGCTCCAACATGCTCAGTAACCCCTGCATACTTGTTTAAATTGAAATTAACCGTACTACAACTACGTTGTTTCTGAATTAAGATGGAAAGTTCGTCAATTTCTTATAAAAATCGTGAAACCAATTTGGCATCGGCTTAAGATGTCGATGACGACGACGAAGACGATGAGGAACGCGATGGATGAACGGATGGACGGGGTGACGCGACGGCCACGACGGGGACGGGCCAATGGGCCAACGAGGGGCTCGCCCGTGGCCCGCCCCCCTCCCCCTCCCCCACCGCCCCCCACCCTCCAAAAGTTCATGTCGCGCCGCGGCGTGCACACTCTGAGGACCTGCATTAAAGTCCTTAAGTGGGACAAAATTCTTTCAACTTGAGATACATTAACATTCCGGTTTTTTACCTATGACCTGCTAATTTCAACAGGTGGATTCTACCACTTCATTCACTTTCGTTTCGCATCTCCATCATCGCACTATTCCATTACTCCAAATACATCTTTCGGCCCTTTTTTATTTCATTTTATTGTTTTCCTTTCGTTAACTCCTGCCAACTCTCGGCTTTTGCGTCTTCCAAGTTCAGCTCTTTCGGCTTTGTCACACGATTTGTACTCACGCTATCATCATCCGCGCATTCTTGTCTTTTTCGGAAGAGCATCGGCGCGTGGATTGACCCCTTGGTCTTTGTGACATTTTGACTGCGATTTTGTCCCTAAGATTTTACATCTCACGTCGTGAATAATTGGCTGCCTTCGTTTACTTCATATCAAGTGATAATAATTATTGTTTTTTATACGTATAAAAATCCATTTCTCAAAGCTTTTACCAGTAAGTGTTCTCATTACGAATTTGTGACTTTGAAGTGTGGCGCTTTTTACCGCCAATATCAACCTCAAATTTTTGAGGACGTTCGTGTGAATCTCACGCATCTTCAGTTCGTTCACTCGTTGCAATTATTAAGCAGTATGGATTACTCTTAAAACATGGTAAGTGCACGATTCTTTATCTTTTCTCATTCAATGAAGTTATATTGTTTTGCGATGTGTATTTCACTGCGACACTGGTACTAATCGCTTCAAAAGCGCAGATTTTTCATTCTTCATGCATTAAACTACAAATGAAAAGTGCAATTGCGAACCTCCCCTTGAACATATTTTCCTCCTGGGACCTGTCTTTTAAAATCCCGAATTTTCAAATCAAAAGTTTCCCTTCATAAGTCCGTCTGAACTTCATTCATCACGAAAATCATAAAAAACTAGGAGGAAAAAATTTAAACCGTAAATTGAGAATGACACGAGTCTCGACACATATCAGAATTATTCTCACGAAATTCACTTGTTAATGGTAGAATGAACCAAAGAGTTATCTTTAAAGGATTTTGATCTAACATATTTTTGATAGAGTGAAAAAAAATTATACATCATTATTTGGAGTGCGCAGGTTCCAAAGGTCCTAAAATTATTTTTTCTAACTTTGAAGAGCCTCCAAAAAACTTTACCTTTTTACACCATGAATTGCTTGATTTAAAGCTTAAATTACAGTTCAGGACTATTTTAATTGGACATTAAACATTTTAACAGTCAAAGTTTACGTTACACTCTGGATTTCTCAGGAGGGAAAGTGGTTTTGCGCGTTTTTGATCCCAACTTTTTACACCATTGAAATTTTATTTAATGTGTGCTCTTCAAATCCTGACGTTTCAATCTTGTAACTTCTACTTTTTTTTGGAGGACGGGGTAATGTAAACGGAACCAAATTTAAAATTTCCCAGTTAAGGCTTTTATAAATGTTCTTTTGTCTTTATTTCTGTCCAATAATTTTTGAAAATTTACAAAGTTACTGGGGGTAAATTTCTCCCTTCACCCCTCAGAATTTAATTTTTGCCATTTTTCTTATACATTCAAATATGGCTTAAAAAGTACTTTTTCGTAGTAAAATTATTTTAGTCTCGTCAAAAAGTGAAGCTGTGCTTTTTTTGATCCTATATATGGGCTGTAATTTAAGATGCTAGCGATTGGTTGTTCTCCTGTATGATGAAAAAACCAAACAATTTTACGTTGTCGTAAAAAAGATATAAGTGTTTTATATCTTGCATTTGGTTGAAAATCAATTGAACATAAGTACAAAGTGGACATAACATCATAGAAATGTTAAACATCCTTCATAAATAATCAAACAAACCCTGTGACAAGAGTTAAGAAATATTAACCATAAATTAATTCTATGCAAAATCCTAAAATGAACAAGCAGGTGGGAGGGTGTACCTTATTTGTGGGTTTTTCGAAATCCGTAAAGCGCTACCTCTAAAAAGTTTCACTCTGGTGTAAAAATAAACATACTTTTTGAAAAATTCAAAAATTTTAATTTTTACCCACCTCTCAAGGGGTAAAAAGAGCCTAAGTGCAAAGTTTGAATTTATGCAACTTTAAGGTGTCATTTTGAAGTAAAAATTAAAAGTTACAGCCCCTTCAGACGAAAACTTTGTCAGTTTTGCATCCGGTGTGGGCAAGAAAAGCTTTCACGTGGTCGAAAAAGGATATCACCGGAAATGTCACACTCATTCAGAATACGCCAAAATATCCTTTTACCGGGCGAGGAGAGATAATTCTAGCGCATCGGCAGTTCACCTACAATTTTCGATATAGGCATTACGAGCTCTCCCGCGGCCGAATAGTGGTATCAACGTGAACTAACACGCTAATCAGGAATACACACAAAAAACAGCTCACTGGTAAAGAAAACTTCAATGCCTTGTCAGTTCGCCTTCAATGTTTATTGTAGGCAACATAGGCTCCCACGTGGTCGAATAGCGGTATCACCGTAAATGTTAAGCTTACTGACCAAACATACACAGACAAGAAGAAGTGACTTTGCTCCTTTATTAGCTAGTGAAATAAATACGGAAATCAACAATATTTTTAAAAGAAAAACAATAGGACGATGGGTTCCGATAGAAATGAGGCCGGTACTGAACTCGGTAAAATATCAAAGTTCGAAGTTGGACATAGTGTGAGGTTAACTGTTAGTAAGCTGAGAACATCGGGTAACGGAAGGAGGTGAAGAGGAGGGCGCGGAAATACGCGTTCTCTGTTGTAACATTTCAGGGAGACATTAACACTATCGTCCCTAAAAGTTATGTATCGAATAATCAATAAGTTTCAAGCCGTGGTCATTTCTGTACATCAAAATTATAGCTACTATGGCAACTTTATTCTTGAATTACTTTCCTTCATAAAGTTTGATTTTTTATTTTATTATTCCTAATTCTTTATTTTCATCTTATTTACAATATAAAATGTAGATATAAATTGCATTTCGATGAAAACTCTCTGCATCATCGAGCAGTATTAAGTTTCGTCACCGCAAATAATCGTTTTTTGCTCGAGACGAATTAAAGTACGGACAGGAATCTCCGTTTTCCTTCATTTTGGTAGCTATGCAATTTGAGCCACTCCAAGGGCTTAATATTTGTACCGTACTTTCGGCCTTTAACTTCGGTTTTTCTCCTCTGGCCATCGATATCAGTGGCGAGGCGTGAATGATCGAATATCGATATCTCCTCATTTGAAGCTATGTTGAAGAATCGATAAAGAATGTTAAGGTGTTCGTTGCAAACACCCTGCTAATCGATCCTCTTCCATAGGTCAAAATGGCAGATCAATCGATTTATCGCAAGGCACGCCAAGCCACTGATCGATATATGTATAATCCAGCTTCATTTCGATCAGTGTCAAAAACACTTGTCAATGCCTCACTCAAGAGTTGACTTCCAAAATTCCCGTAGTGTGAATGGTTTCCTACGTAACGTAATACTTCGAAGAGAAAACATTGGACCTTTTTCTGTAGCTCAGACGCTGTTCAGTGACACATCTCATTCAACTTAAGGGAGAGATTAATCGTTGCATCGTGCGCTTGATTTTGGTAATTTGTTTTTTTTTCGTCCGATTTTGCAACGGTAAAAACAGATGCGATCAAGAACCTGGGCGGTCTGGGCCTGGGCTGACGTCATAGTAGGTCTCTGAATCAAAGGCTACATCCGCGTCAGCTCCAGCGCGGCGCGACGCGACCGTATCGTCACGCTGACCAATCCTCACGTCTCGCTCCTCATTTTACTTCTTTTTTAGTTTTTTTATTCCCACTTTTATGTTCCGCTCTCGTTGCGCCGACATTTCTGCACTCGGATTTTGACCTGCTTTCCAGTGGTTCGAACATATCAGAAAATTGTCTTTTGAAATTAAAAGTGAAATTCGATCGACATTTCGATGCCTCCAGTGTGAAACCACGTATCTCCATTGCGGTATCTCGAAATCTTTGCCCCTGTTCATTTTTTCAAAGAGGGGAAAACCGATTTCATACAGCTTGAAATTTACACAGAGTATACTGGAAGGAGACGAAAGGGACGGCCATCAAAAGGGTGGCGACAAGGAGTTTAGAGAAAATGAGGGTGTGTCAACTCTCTGAAGGGCTATTGGAGGATAGGGAACTTTGGCGGCTAGGTGTCGTAGAGCGCCAGAGAGCGCTGTGAAAGCGGCTTTATGTATGCATATTGGGCTGATAAAGAAGAGAAATTAAGGAAGTTTTCAAAAAAGTACGTCAAGTGGTTCACCGAAAAAAAAGTGAAGTTGATTTAACATTCTGGATGTAGAAAAAGTGTGCGAGAACTTACAAAATGCTGAATTAACTCCTACAGCAGTAATTTTAGCAGTGTCAAGATGTAAAACTAACTGCCGTAGTGGGTAATTTAGCACTTTGTGAGTTCTCGCACACTTTCTTTACATCCAGGATGTTAAATCGACTTCACTCTTTTTTCGGTGTTGGAAAATTTTGGAAGATTTGACTGATCATTTAATCGGGATGATAATAATGGCGGTGTTTTTTTTTAATTCCAAAGAATTCGAAATGTGAACGAAACTTTTCTCAGAATGATCCCATGATGATAAATATTTTTTTGCTTTGAGGGTAAAAAAGATGACATACAAATATGAAACATTTAGAGAGTCTTTGGAGAGTTTTTCTTTCATCCGTGGGAACGTTCAATAAAAAAACTTTAGAGTGTGACCAGGAACTCTTCAGGACCTCAAAAATCTGATCCCTATCTGCTTATGAATTGGTGACAGAAAGTTTTAGCGAGGCAAGAAATCGATAGATTCTCCGTCGCACTTCAAGAAATCGATAGATTCTCCGTCGCACTTAAGTGCGAACCTCAAACCCTTTTAAGCGCTCAGCCGATAGGCAGCGCTTTTTGATTTCGACTTGCCTCTGAGTACTAGTATACTAGTGCTAATGCGTTTAAATGGCGCACCAGCTCATCGATGTGAAGGTTTTTTTTTGGGGGGGGGGTCCATTTTTAAAATAAATAAAGCTGTGAAAACTGTATTTTATGCTTTTAACGTAATGCGTAGGTAGTTTCGATCGTTTGTCTATAGGAAAATTTCTTAGCGGTAAGTAATTCTTATCGAAATTGATCGTTGAACTCAAATGAAGCCTAAAAAAAAAAACGCGCCTGATTAGCTCAACGGTGAGCTCATTTTCGGGAAACAAAAATACGCGTTTACGGTTTCCTTGGTAACCTTTGTTTGCTATCAGCTGATGTTTTATTTCCATTTCCCAGCCAAGTCGACGGAGTTTATACGTCCTTTCTTCATTAAATACATTTACTAACACCTGAGCGCTTTTCTAATACGACAGTATTATTAGAACTTTTCCGCTTGTTTAATCTGTAATTTTCCGCCAAATCTATATTTGAGCGTCAATAATGAAAGGATAACAGTGGACACTTTCAGACTGAAGACACGAGGAATTTCATGGAAAATATTGAGAGTTGTGGCTCCAGTAACTGCATGACATACGCAGCTTTCATCACTATTAATTACAGCAATTAAAGAGGGACTTGTGAAACGTGCTAAAGAAACAAGTCCCAGTCCCGCACCGCAGAAAAGTGAGCACCTGGAATTAATCGATCTCCCATATCTAAATAATTCTAACT